CCCTGGCGAAGGTGCGCGTGGGGACAAACCAGGCCATTTTGCAAACAAATTCAGGGTCAGCTGCATGGATGCTTATAAACTGAAGGGACAGACACACACACAACAATCATAAAACAAAATGCCATCTTTTAACCACTTTTCATAAGTTGAAATGGAATCAGGACTTTTTTTTCAGCCACATGCCTGACCTCCTGTGACTAAAAAAGCTGAGTTTATTCTAAGGAGCCAGTTCGATGCTGTCAACACCAACCTGAGACCAGGAACGTGAATTGTGATCCACACAAAAGAATAAACGGTATAATTTGCTGGATCTGAAACCAAGCCCTGACGCGAACTGTTTGCTGAAACGTGAACCGCGGGCGTGGGAGCATCTGCTGCCGAGCACCTGACGGTCCGGCTCATCGAGCAGCGGAGTCTGTGTATTTAAGAGCCTTTGTCCCGCTCAGACACTCAGGGAGCAAAACAAGCCACAGGCCAACCTCGAACACAACCAGCGTTTCCTCCCCGCGAGCCGGAGGAGGACACAATAGGACGTGATTGCAAACGCTCTTTTCCGAGGCACACGGCACAGGCTGGGCTCGACAGCAATCAGCCCGCAATTATTTCCGCAGCGGAGCCTCTGAGCCTTTCCCGTGTGTGAAGGGGAGGAAGGAGTTTGTCGGGAATTCTGATGGGAAGGGACAGAAGGAGGAGAGGTGACCGCGGGCCGTTCGGAGCCGGGAGACGCAGGCGCTGGAGACTAGCCCCAGCTCTGGGGGGAGGCCTCGGGCCACGGCGGCCCTCACCCCTCGTAAAACAGGGCCCGTCGGCCGGCGCCCGCCCTGGAGGCCTCGATGGGCAGCAGGCGCGTTACCTGTGGAGAGCTGGGTGGGGAGCGGGTTCATCTCCTTGTCCACCATCTTCTGGTACAAAGCCCTCAGGCTGAACGGCTCCACGGTGAAGGGCAGGGTCCCGGTCAGCATGGCGTACATGTTCACGCCTCTGAGAGAGAGCCGGAGCGAGAGCAGAGTGAGGCCCGGAGGGCAGGACAAGGAGGGCAGGGCTGGGCCACCTTCCTGTTCTGTCCCTTCCCAGAACCTTCTAGAACCTCAGCGTCACACACAAGCAGCTGGGTGAGAGGCAGGGGCGAGAGTGCAGCTGCGGGCCAGGCACTGGAGGGCGGCACAGGGGTGTCTGCACCTCTAACAGCTGCCCTAAAGCCCGGCCGGGTGGCTCAGTGGTTGAGCATCGACCTAAGAACCAGGAGGTCACGGTTTGATTCTCCATCAGGGCACATGCCCGGGTTGCGGGCTCCATCCGGGGGGCGGGGGGGCGTGCGAGAGGCAGCTGATCCATGACTCTCTTATCATTGATGTTTCTCTCTCTCTCCCTCTCCCTTCCTCTCTGAAATCAATAAAAACATATTTTTTTTTAAAAAAGAACCACTAGACACCTGTCCCAGAGCCTCTACCCCAAAGGCTCTCATCACTCAGGCGTGGATTCCGAAGGGAGGGGCGCTCGCTCCCGAGCTGGGGACTCACATGGACCAGACGTCGATTTTGGGGCCGTACTTCTTCCTGGCCAGCAGCTCGGGCGCGGCGTAGGCGGGGCTGCCGCACTGCGTGCTGAACGGGTCCGAGTGGCCCAGGATCCCCGCACAGTTGCTCAGTCCGAAGTCTGCAAAATGCGGACAGATGCTCCGGGTCAGAAAACGGTGGACGTGAGGGAGGAAGGGAACGAGGCCGTAGGAAGGGGAACCCTCCGGGCGAAGGCCTCGCTGCGCGTTCGGAACCCCGGCGGCTGCAATCGGTCACCGTGGACGCAGGTCTCGGGGCAGAAGCGGGCAGCGGGGGAGCCCTGGCTCCTCCGGACACACTTCCCATCAGGCCTCCCTGCAGACCCAGCTCAGCCCCAAGAATGTGGCCCCGAAACCTGTTTCTCTCAACCTCAGACATGAGTCGCCAGGACAGGGCACTGTGCCTCCCAGGACCTGGCAGGAGGCAAGGCCCCGCCCGGCCTGGGGGACAGGGACCCGCTTCCAAGCGGCCGCCTGGGAAACCCTGGGGAGACCGACGGTCTCGGGCTGGTGACCGTTAGCCCTGAGTGACACGCGGCCCCACCATCAGAGTTGGCTTTCTGGGCTGACTGTCTGCATTCCCTGCGAGTCTGCTGGGAAGTGCTCCCCGTGGGGAACACGGGGCTCTGAAGGGGGAGGGGAATACACCCAGTGACTCAGACCACGCGGAGGGCGGGCGGCTGCGAGAACAACGCCAGAAAGAGCCACGAGAACGAGCGAAGTGAGCGTAGAGCTTTTTAAAGAATATGTTTTTATTGATTTCCTAGAGAGGGAGAGGGAGAGAGATAGAAACATCAGTGAGGAGAGAGTCATTGACCGCTGCCTCCTGCTCAGTGGATAGAGTGTTGGCCCGTGGACTGAAGGGTCCCGGGTTTGATTCCAGTCACGGGCACGTACCTCGGTTGCAGGCTCCATCCCCGGCCCTGGTCAGGGCACATACGGGAGGCAACCAATCGATGTTTCTCTGTCTCTCCCCCTCCTTCCCACTCTCTCCAAAAATCAATGGAAAAATACCCTGGAGCCGCCCACAGGGTGAGGATTAACTCCACTCCCCCCCCCAAAAAAAGAAAAAATAGGGAATGCAGTTTCTGCTAAATAAACCCAATTCCCAGGTGTGTGTGTGGGGGGGGACTCTTGGTCTGAGCTGCTCTGACAGGCTGGGAGCCACATGAAGGTTCTAGCAAAGGGACAGCTGCTCTCAGAGCCCCTCCCGCAGGGTTGGGGACTTCGGGTTCTGACCCCCAGCTTCTGCCGCGACCCCTTTGGGCCCAAAGAGCCGAAAAGCCTGTTTGGGAGCCGACCCGGAGCTGCCGGGCCGAGGGGTGACGGCGGAGGCACGGAGGGAAATGGCCCTGGTCTGTGGCTGTCTGACCGCTATGCCCAACACCTAAAACTGACACAACGTAACAGGAAATGTAACCTGCCATTGAAATGAGTGTTTAAAGCATCAAAAGCATGAACCATAAAAGGAAAAGAGCCCGGCCGGACGGCGTGGCTCAGTGGTTGAGCGTCAACCTAGAACCAGGAGGTCAGGGTTCGAGTCCCGGTCAGGGCACATGCCTGGTTGTGGGCTCGATTCCCAGTGTGGGGCGTGCAGGAGGCAGCCGATCCATGATCCTCTCTCATCATGGATGTTTCCATCTCTCCCTTTCTCTCTGAAATCAATAACAAATATATAATTTTTTTTTTAAAGCAGAGAAGGGAGACTGCCTCTCCCTTCCTCTCTGAAATCAATAACAAATATATAATTTTTTTTTAAAGCAGAGAAGGGAGACTGTTCCCCGGTTCCGGTGCCCGGCGTTCACTGGCGAGGGGAGCACGGCGTGGCTAAGCCACGGCAGCACCAGACCCAACAGTTCCCTCCTGGGAAGCCTCGCGGTTCATCCAGATAAAAGGACCCATGAGAGTTCACGGAGGAGCTGGAGCTGGAGCCCCCACAGAACACGTGAGATAAACGTCTACTTGGGCTGCGACGTTCATTCACGGTCCCTTCACAGCACTTCGCCTTCCGCTTAGGTTTAAATTATTTTAAAATTCATCTTCATTTCAGAGCCATGACTCGATACTGGAGGTAGAGGCGGTGACGGAGGAGGACTGTCCGGGGACTAAAACAGACCGGGAACCAGCTCCTCAGTCAGTCGTCCAGAAGCAAACCAGCGGCCGGGACAGCACAGAACAGGACAATCTCACACACACACAAGCCATACCGATCAGCTTGATGTTATTGTCTTCGTCGAGCAGCAGGTTTTCTATCTTCAAGTCCCTGAAACAAACAGAAGCACAGAGCACGTCAGCCGGGGTTTGAAGCGACGGCGTCACACTCGCTCCTGCAGGGAGAGGAGGCCCGAGCCACTGGGACCCGCCCCGGGCCTCCCCTCGGGACCGGCGCCATCGCAAGTGCAGGCGGAGCCGGACGGAGGTCCCTGCTGCCCCCCCAGCAGCCAGGGCCCTCGGAGGGCCAGGCGCCCAGGGCAGAGCCCGTCCCAGCAGCTCCGGGAAGAAGTGGGACGGCGCTGAGCCCTGGGACTGAGCTCACACCGGGTGAGGAGAGCGCGGCCTGGACTGTCGGGTACATCGTGGCCGCGCTGCGAGCCGGTGGGCAGCACCCGCCCGAGAGAGAACACAGACTCGGGGAAGCAGCTTAAAAGAACCAAACACAGCCCGGCCGGCGAGGCTCAGTGTCAACCCAGAAGCAGGAGGTCAGGGTTCCATTCCGGGTCAGGGCACATGCCCAGTTGTGGGCGCGATCCCCAGTGGGGGCCGGGCAGGAAGCAGCCGATCCATGGTTCTCTCTCATCATGGATGTTTCTATCTCTCTCCCTCTCCCTTCCTCTCTCTCTAAAAGTCAATTGAAACGTATTTTTTTAGGAAACTGCACACAGATAACACTTGACTTCTATGTGTGGAGTCCAAACTGGCCGGTGACGGTCAGTCAAGGTTGACGTGTCTTCTCCGGCTCCCACTTTGTTGTTGGAAATAAAGTAACGGACATTGTGCCACATCCACACGGACAGGTCCCCAGTTCTCTGTGGGGCACGTCCTCTTCGCTGAGGACACCGGGGGCACATTATAACCCTGACCTTCTATTCGAGCCTACACGGTGCTCACACTCACACACACGTGCGCTCGCACACACACACACACACACACACACACACACGCACACACGCCAGGGCAGCCCAGGCTGCCATCCCGGGAAGCCTGACCCCCAAGCAGCACGTTTCCATCAGGGAGCCCCACCCCCACCCCCCGCTTGTCCCAGCAAATGAAACCTCTTTCCCGGGCAGGACCGGGAGCCCCGAGAAGGCGCGAAGGAGACCCGTGTTTCAGAACGAGTGCTGGGGGAAGCACGGCAGTGAGACGCGAGGTCGCAGACTCGGCTGCCGAGAGGGGTACGACCACCTGGGTGACCCCGGGGGCGGGAGGCCTGGGGACCCACGTGAGCAGGCGCTGTCGGCGGGAGACTGAACATAGAGAACGCAGAGGGGGAGCCAGCGGTCTCGGGAAGAGGTAGCAAAGGAGGAAAACGCAACCCTTTGGAAGTCACTCCATCCCGCCCACTGCATTCCCGTAACCCACCCGCCCCTGGAGGACGCAGAGCGAGCCCAGCTCTCTGGTTTCCGGGCTGGTTACCCTCCTGCTACCCGTCCGCCAGGGCTCCTGGAAGAGGCCGGCAATGACCGCCCGACCGCCTGACCGCCCCGAGCTCCTGGCCGGAGGAAGGTTAGCATGTGGCCTCTGCAGACCGTGCGCCTCGCTCCCCAGGGAGGACATCCCAGCCCTGGCTCCGCTCCTCTCCTCCCCCCGACTCCTGAAAAGGGGAGAACGCTGTCCTCCCGACTCTAGGAAACAGGCTCCAAAATCATGTTTTCAAAAATATATTAGTATTGACCTCAGAGAGGGAGGGAGGGAGAGACAGAAACAATGATGATGAGAGAGAATCGTGGATCGGCTGCCTCCTGCACGCCCCACAGGTGGGGATCGAGCCCACAACCCAGGCCTGTGCCCTGACCGGATCCAAACGTGACCTCCTGCGTCATAGGTCGGTGCTCAACCACTGAGCCTCGCCGGCCGGGCTAAGTATTTTTAAAAGTGGCATTTGCCTAGGTGTTTACCCAAATGCGTTGGAAATTCCTGGGCTCGGATGTTCTCAGCAGCTTCTTCACAAGGACCCAAATCTGGGAGCCACCAGGGCGTCCCTCCGCGGTGACGGCACAGGAGCCGCGGCCCGTCCACAGCGGCCTCGCATTCAGTGGGAAGGAGCGCCATCCAGTCACGAGGGCGAGGGAACTAGCCACGTGTTTCACCGTGAGAGGAGGCGGTCTGAAAGGCGGCGTCCGCATGACTCCAATTAGAACCCTTTCTTCCAGGAAAGGCCAAGCCACGGAGCCAGCGTCCACGGAGCCCGTGGAACATCCGTGGCTGCCAGAGGCCGGGAGGAGGGAGGGGTGGAGCTCAGAGCCCCGCGCGCAGCACAGAGCACCCCGAGGGACCACGTCCCCTGTGAGCCCTCCTGTGACCGGGGACCTCAGCTACAGACACTATCAGTGCTGGCTCCGCAGGTGTAACGAGCAGGCACGGCCACCAGGGCTTAGGAACAGGAAACCGACGCAGAAGGGGGTGGGGAAGCGGGTGGGAACTCTAGCTTCAGCACCATGTCTCTGTAAACCTCAAAGTCTTCTAAAAATACAGTCTAATTTTTTCTCTTTCTTCATTGAGTAAGGTTCTGCTAATTTTTAAAAAATATATATTTTATTGATTTTTTACAGAGAGGAAGGGAGAAGGAGAGGGACTGAGAGTTAGAAACATCGATCAGCTGCCTCCTGCACACTCCCCACTGGGGATGTGCCCGCAACCAAGGTACATGCCCTTGACCAGAATCGAACCCGAGACCCTTCAGTCCGCAGGCCGACGCTGTATCCACTGAGCCAAACCGGTCAGGGCAGTTCTGCTAATTTTTCTAAAGTAGATTTGGGTATTTCTTCCCTTTCCTAAGAGGTGACGACCAGGAATGGTATGGCTGCGCCCGGGTGCCTCACGCAGGGTGGAGGGTCCCCACCACCTGGAGGTCATTGACAGTCCACTCAGCACAGTGGGCCACTCAGCCCCTCCGCCCAGCCACTCAGCAATGACCGCGGCTGAGCCCCGAGGCCACAACATTGAGAGAGACCTTCTTGAATCACCAAAAAGGATGGAAAGAAGGCCGGACCGCTGACCAGGATGGGGAGGAAGGCCTGACCGCTGCCCGGCTCACCCCTGGTGGTGGAGGTGGAGCTGACCTCACACTAATGCCCCCATCAGGCAGCCCCTTCCTGGAGGGGGTAGGGACTGTGGTGAGAAGAGTCCCTCCCGGGGCAGGCAAACCGGAAGCTCAGGGTGAAGGAGGGAAGGAGGGGAAACGGGTTGTTCTCGGCCAAGGAGGCTGTTGGAAGTTAGGACGAGGGGGAAGGGATGGGGCACGACCTCTATACGGGGTGATG